TTATTCGGCTAACTGCTGTTTTACCGACTTGAGGCTCCAGCGGCTCCCTTGCGTTGTCACGTGGAGATTGTAACGTGTCACTCCACCATGCCAAGTACCATGCCAGGGTCTGGCCTGCTAGCCCTAGGTACGTTGAGATCTTAGGTAGAACGAGTTTGTTTGGATTCTATTATAATAATAAAAAAAAAATATTAAGATAATACAGTAAAAAAATATTTTAAAAAATAGCACATTTTAAAAAATCAGCACATGACATATTCGATTTGCAAGTCATATGTGTGTGATATGCATTGTATGGCATGATGTTCAATAAGATGAGAGGATAGAGCAGAGAGGTAAGAAACAGGAGATAATAAGAGTCTACAGTTACACAGGAAATCTAATGATAATGTTATTAGTGTTGTTAAAAATATATTGATGAAATAAATTTAAAGAGATTAAAAAAATTATCAACAACAATTAAAATATGTCACGTAAGTATTCTAAAAATAAATAAGTTTAGATATACTTGAGAGGAAAGAGAAAAGGGAAAAAAAGTTAAAAATTAATACTAGAAACGCACTGAAGCTTTAGTAATAATAATATCAATATTATTAAAAAAAACCTAACAAAATAAATTTAATAAAATCAATTAAAATCATAAATAATAATTGAAATTTACCACATAAACTTTCTAAACATATCAAAACTAAATTGATTTTAAACAGTTTGTGTGACGCGTTCCAAATATTATGTGAACTAGTTTTAATTTAAATTATTTTTTTATTTTTTAAATTATAATTTAAATTAAACCATAAATACACAAATCAATTCATCTAAAAGTGTAAAGAGCATTGTCATAACTTTTAGAATTGAGGTTTAAAAAAATTAACAAAAAAAATTAACTGCAATTTAAAAAATATATATTTAATTAAAATTATTATCTTGTAAGTACATCACATTGATTTTTTTTAGTTTTTTTTAAGTTTTCATGTATTCATATAAAAATAATTAAAAAATACATCTTAAAATATTTTTAAATAAAAATTTATTTTTTATATAAAAACACTATGCAAGACAGTAAGAGATATTAAAAATTAATTTATTTTTTAGATTTTAAATTGCGTTAATCATAAAAATAATTTTAATAAATATTATTTTAATATAAAAAATATTTTAAAAAATAACTAAAACCAACGTCTCAACCCTAACCACCCAGTGACTCAACCTCACGTGATAATTGACCCGTGGTCCAAACACAAAAAACAAGATGTTGTTAACTTGCCCCTTGTAATCCAAGAGAAGGAGACATGTACAAATTTGGGCAGGGAGTCAGGGCGCTGGAGCATAGAGTGGTGGGCGAGCAAAATCAAAGGAGCATATATCACGCTACCCGATAAATCAGGCAACAGGAAAGTGTCAGTGTCAGTTGTCCTCCGAGATAATCTTGATTCTGTACAGTGCATAAGAAGGCTTGGAGCAGGCAAAGCCCAGTCATTGCTTCCCACGCTGCCCAGCTCCAATGATGCTGTCGGTTTTCGTTTATTCTAAATAATAAAAAATTCTCTCTCATCTATAATGAGTCCTTCTCCATTCCCGATATATGGCCTTCTCGGACCCTGTATCCCTCACCTTCTCAAGTCATGGTCCGTTTCGGAGGATGTTGCTGCGTGTCCTCGAAGCTGTATTTTATCCTAAACATAGTTTCCAAAATTGTTTTGCCTTTTATGTTTATTTGTCCTGATGTTTTTTTTCTCTTTAAAATTTATTGAATTAAAATTTTTTATTTTTAAAAATTTATTTTTGATATGAATATATTAAAAAATTAATAATTAAAAAAACAAAAATTATTTTAAAAAGCAGCAGTGTAGCTGCAAGGTAACTTTTTTTTCTTTTGAAAGTGTTTTAAAAACATGTATCACGTGAAAAAAATATAAAATTAATATTTTTTATTGTTTTGATATAATGATATAGGGATATTATAAATTTTAAAAATATATTTTAATGTATTTTTAAATAAAAAATATTTTTAAAACAATTCTACATCACAGTACAAAATAAACATCTCAATCTTACTAAAAAATTCTACATCACAATACAAAATAAACATCTCAATCTTACTAAAAACTACTCCAAAAAAAATTGTTAAGACAGAATTATTATTTATAGTTTTTCTTTTTTAAATCATAACTGTAAACGTCGGCACAACAATAAAAACAAACTAACACTAAAAAACAAAAAATAATAAAAACTTTTGAGAGCTACTAAAACACTGCGCGCGCATTTAGTCATCGTACCGTATTCTCACAGTTAGAACTATGTTAAAACTCAATAAAAAAATTTATTTATTATTTTTTCGAAAATTATTTTTTTTAAACTAAACTTTATAGTAACACCAAGCAAACACTGACACTGATATTAAACAACAAATACATGCTCATCAAAAAAATATGATAAGTTCTCTGATATGATATTGTTAGGAGTTGTTTTGGAGTGTAGTTATTAGTGTTTTTTCAAAATATTTTCATGTTATAATATATTAAAATAATATTTTTATTTTATAAAAATTATTTTTAAAAGTGATGTATCAAAACGATAAAAAAAAAATTTAGCAAGAAATTTTAATTATTTAAAAATGTTGGTTGATTTATGTCCCTAATCATTGTTTTAACCTTACATGTAAGATGATAAAAACAAAAAATTTATGTGGGGGGAAGGGGTTATTTATTAAGATGTTATTACTTTTATCCGATGCAACTATTTTAATAGAAAGATTATATTTGCTATATATGTTATCAATAACAAATTATAAAATAAAATAAGAGATAAATAGATAAATTACAATTTGGTTATATATGTTAAAAAAGATACGTGATAAAATTAATAGTAAAGTTACCATAAAGCTGTTTTTAAAAATATAAAAAATTAAATATGAACAATTATAATATAATTTTTTATTATTTTAAAAATATTATTTAATTAATTTTATTTTATATGAGTTGGGATATATATTTGAAATTATAATATATATATATATAATATTAAATATTTATTAATAATTTATCTATTTATCTAAAATATAACATGATATTGTTAGGAGTTATTTTAGAGTGCAATTGTTATTGTTTTTTCAAAATATTTTCATATTACAGTATATTAAAATAATATTTTTTATTTTTTAAAAAATATTTTCAAGAACCGTGCATCAAAATAATAAAAAAATCTAACAAATAAATTTTAATTTTTTTTAAAATACTAGTTGATCCGTGTTCCTAAATACCATCTTAATCTTAATCTTGCATGTAAAATGGTAAAAACAAAAACTTTATGTCATGGGAAGGATTATTTATTAAGATATTATTACTTTTATCCGATGCAACTATTACAGTAGTAGAAAGAGTATATTTTGCTATACATATTATCAATAACAAATTGTAAAATAAAATGAGAGATAAATAAATAAACTACAATTTGGTTATATATGTTATAAAATGTATTTGATAAAATCAATTATAAAATTACCATAAAGCTGTTTTATAAAATATAAAAAATTAAACATGACAATTATAATATAATTTTTTTCATTTTAAAAATATTCTTTAATTAGTTTTATTTTATATGAGTTGATATATATATTTGAAATTAATTTTTTATATAATATATATCTATATAATATCAATTATTTATTAATAATTTATCCATTCATCTAAAACATCCTAGCTCCGCAGCTGCGTATACGCTATATAGAATATCCACTACTAGTCGCCAGGTTAAGTTTGAAATGTTATTATTTATAATTTAAACATTATCGAATTAATATTTTTTCGGAATCCTCCCTCAAAAATCTGGAGAAAAAAAACCGACTATTAAACAAAGTTTATCTGCCTCATGAATACAAGTGTACATTGTCTTGGTGTCATTTAAAGACTTGCACAGCACTGTTGGATGGATCACGTTCGCCCTATACACAGTCTAATATCTGGAGCAATGTCACAGGACATCTTAATTTAATTTGATCTAAAAGTACAGCTAGGACTCTTTAATGGGATCGAGTTAATGCCTGGCTAGTTTACAGCCAACATCACTTTAATAAGAAATTATTATGGACGGTTTGTTATTAATTTTCTATATTAATTTTAGACTACAATTAAATTTAATAATGATATTAAATTTTAATTTAATTAATTAATAAATTTAATTTATATGTTCAGAAGAAATAAAATTTAATTAATTTTTTTTATATTAATTTTACCACTCTCATCTTAAAAATTCATTTAAATGTATGCGAGAGAAAAGAGATTGATATATAAGTATTTTTGAAATACACAATTTGTTTTATCATTAACTCTTATTTTCTAGTGTAGTCAATAAAAAGGGTTAGATTTAGTCCAACTTGATATAATAATTCGTCACAATTAAACAATGATACATCACATAAAAATAAATAAATGACTTGACATGTATATTACCAAACTAGTAAGCTGGGTTTAGGCCGAAATCCGATAAAAGATTTAATCGTTAAAAACTAGAATAATAATTAAATTTAATTTAATTTCCTGTTTAATAAATTATTTTTTTGTATTTTTATTTTGTTTTATAATTGAGGTATGATCTTTAACTTAATTAATGTTTTGTAAACCTTCTAATGAAACACACTTTATCGGCATTATTTTTTAGAAAGAATAAAATCATGAATTTAGAATTCATATATACAAAAAAAATTTACCTGTTAAATTTATGTATTATATGCTTGTTTGCTGTATTTAACTCCTGCTTATATTAGTCAATCTTTGATCTATTCTTACATTAACCTTCAAAACTCAAAATAATAAAAAATATAAAAATTCATTAAAATTTCTAAACCGAGCGAAGAATATTCAAACATGCTGTCAAGGAATTCCAATTTCCTTAAAAATTTAAACTCGACCAGGAATATTTTTTTTCCTGCACTGCCTCGAGAAAGCAAAAGGCAGAGAAGCAATCTTGATTCGTCCATCTTAATACAATTCCCTGCAAATTAAATTCGAACACGTTAACAGAACCACCCAACCATTCAAAAACCCTCACACCAAATCCCACTTCAGTCTCTCTCCCTTTTCTTTTGTCTTTTTTTTTTTTAATTATTTCAGAAGAAACAAACGACCCACGCGAAACCACGCGTCAAGCCGTCAAAAACATCGTACACAGTGCAGAACCCACCTCCTGTCGAGAAAACCTTTTAGAACATCGCCTCAACCTAACAACGAAAGCTAAACCCTCGAGAACAATTCAGGATAGCATTTTTCTCCAACAAGAGAAAGAAAGCCCAGAGAGAGACCAAGAATGCCATCAGAAATAAGCCAGGGACACCCAACAGAAGCCCAAAACACCATGGGGGCTGCACACCAACCGCCAAAAACGACTGAGCCACTGCCTTGTCCAAGGTGTAACTCCACCACCACTAAGTTTTGCTATTACAACAACTATAACCTCTCTCAACCTCGCCATTTCTGCAAGTCATGCCGCCGTTACTGGACACAAGGTGGAACTCTCCGTGATGTTCCTGTTGGTGGCGGTACACGCAAGAATTCCAAGCGCTCTCGCTCAACTTCAAATAATTCTTCATCTATATCTACCTCATCTTCTAATTCTACTTCCTCGAATTCTGCAACTTTGACTGCTTTCACCACCACTCATGAACCCGAATCCATGCCCGTGGTTTTATCCTCGACTACTGACTCTGGTTTAGCAGCTGTGAAAACTGAGGTACAAGCCGGGTTAAATCTGAATGACGGATTACCTTCTGAAGATGGAAACTTCATTTCGCTCATGAACTCTAACGATCAGCATGGGTTTACTGGTCTTGGCGGGTATGGATACGCGTCAGGTTTCGGATTCGGGCCTAGTGAAATGGGTATTGGATTTGGTGGAAGAGGATCTTGGTCCTGTCCCGTAATGGAAAATGTTCTTGTTAATGGTGGTACTTCTGGATGTCATCCCTGGCAGCTTGACTGTGATCAAGTTGAAGGAGGGGGGCTTCAAGCTGGATTTACAGCAGATACTGAAAATTATTTTGGTTCTTGGCCTGATCTTGTTATGTCTGCTCCAGCAGGAAAAGGTTTGAACTGATACTGGCCTTTTCTTTTCACAAAAAGAAAAAAACATGTTCCCTTTTGATGTCCTCGGAGGTTTAGTTTTATTGATTGCTGCAACTTATGTTAATTTCAAGTTGTGTTTTTTGTTTACTGAGCAAGACCGTATAGACTATAGGGTTATGGTATAGAAGATGAAGAAGTTCGAAGCATACCTCTTGTGTAAGTGATTTCTTAAGGTCTTTGTAAAGCTTTTGGGTTTTTGCTCGAACAAATCTTTCGAAGAAAATATAGAAAAAATATGCTCTTTTGCTGTTTAATTATTTGTGCTTGTCTTGGATGGTCGTGAACAAGTAACAGAAGAATCTGACATAACGCATGAAAACTGAGTTCCGGTTTTCGAAGAATGTCTAGACCCTGGTATTATCTCGATTTTCGATATTTTAGCCGCTCGTCTATGTAAGAAACACCCAACTGTATCCTGTTTACGGGGTTGTCTCCACTATCAAGCCAAAACATCCAGTTCATCTTTCGTCTGGCTCATCTTTTTCTGGTTCCTCCCCGTGTTTTTTTGGAATATGCCTGATTATGCTCATTAATGGGGTAGCAATAGAGCTGCTAAACATGGCCCGTTATTGACGGTTCATGGTTAATGCTTGTGCTAATTGGTTTGACAGGCATCCATTTTCATTCATGAGTCAAAACCTAACCAGCTTGCAGAAATGTTGAATGGCATTATTAGCACTGAATTAGCAGCATCATTTTCACAAACTTGTGGATGTTAATTAATTCGATGAATTCAGGGAACATGTCTAGATGGGTTCCGAAGGTCAAAGGTTTTTGTGCATGTTGTCGGCTGTCACCTAACTAAAGAAATCATCTAATTTGGGATTAGATTTGGATCCCCCTCAAATCAGGGAACATGATCTATCATGCCGATAAATTCAATCAATGACAAGGATACAATTTAATCTTGTTATGTTAGCGAGTGGTTAAAATCGTTTTAAATTGTATTAAAATTAATAGTTATTGATTTTTATTTAAAAAAATCGAAAAAATTAATTTGAAATCAACTATTTAGATTCATTTAACATGATAGGTTACATTATCACTAACCAAATGCCACTCAAATATGGCATTTGTTCAGTGTTTTATAATGGAAAAACATGGGATAATAAAAACATGTGATTGGAAGGAACGAGGATGAATATATATATTTGTCTGTCCATGCAAGTTTATAATAGATTTTTATTTTAAAAAAACAAAAATCCCAATTATATTTATTTTTTCAATTACAAGATAAATAAAACACATGCAAGGGTGTGCTAAATCCGAATCATAGCATTAAGAAATGGATTGAGGTACATGAGAAGTATTATTAAGTTGGGCCCAATCAAGTACTTTACCGTTAATAAATTTTGAATTTTTAGGGCACAAGCTTATCATAACCCACCGCAAAAAAACAGGTAAGGACTTTTGAATTAGTGCTGGCAATAATTCAATATCGCACCATGCGTCATCATGCCATTTCTGTCATCATGAATGTTTAGTTCTAGCTTTAAATTGAAGCCAATTGAGTGGCATGTGCAAACACCTACTAAGTTTCCATATTGGTTGTGTAGCAGGGTCACCACATGGTATAAGCCCGCTGTTTCCTTGCTATTCGACCTACTTTGGAAACGTGGACCCTGACCATGATCATGTTTAGCTTATGGAGTACACAAAGCTGAGGCCTGCCTTGCCCCATTACAAACATGAAGCTTCGAGGAACCGTTGTTCCTCGGAGTGGACAGCAACATCTCTCGTCTGGAAGAGACTTCATGCTATTATTATCGAGATCGGTAGTTTGGCATGCGTGACAATGGAACCCCATGCAGCATGATGTTTTAGTCGCATTTCAATTCAAGCTTTTTGTTATTTTCCTAAACACGAAGTATTTTAACCTCCACAATCGCTGTAATGTGCAAAATCAATTATGCCTTGAATCATTTCCTTTGAAGACCTTTTGACCCTTTGGATACCAGAGCTTTCTGATTATTTTGAATGCTTGCTTGCATTCTAAAATACACAAACACTTGCATTTTCAAAAAAGTGGAGATTTGATGATAAAGGAGGGATCAACATTGCGCAGCTGTCAAGGCATACATCTAGTCATTAGCATCGTAAGTAGTTGATGGGTCAAGTTGAGTCTATCTTAGATCAATACACAAGTCGACAAGTCAATCTAAATCTATCATAGATCAATACACAAGTCGGCGAGTAATCTGAATCTATCTCAAACCTAACAAAATAATTTTTTTGAAAAATAATTCTTGTAGTTAACTAGACCAGGCTAGTCAGTCAACATCCACATCCACTTTGGAACAAGTTCAGAATCGATGGGTCACGTTCACTATACTAGCCTATAGGCTATCATTGCGGCATCAGATACTCTAGATCTTATTGCTCCTCTTATTAAATTTATTGAGAGAGAAGTTTAGCATAACAATCAGAAAGAACAAAGTGAAGTCCAATTCCATGGTATAACAAACACAATCATATTTTGATATTTCTCTACATTCTTTTGAAGACAAGACAGTATTGAATCGAAGACAAGTGGATAACCCCTAGTAAAGCCAGGCAAAATCTTGCACAGGCAATTAATCAGGATAAGCTTACCCCGATTCAACTTCCAAAAGCAACATATCCATACATTTAAGTGTAGATTTCTCAGCATCAGCAGGTACAAAAACAACATACAACGTCAACCTATATAATGTTTACAAGGTTGCTGCCCCTGCATAGGATTCTTAATTTGGTGGCTTGAAGAATTTTAATTTAAGTCCACTGTTCACCATGCTCCAGACACCTCCAATGGAGAAGGCCACGCTAAAAGCAATGCCTAACCAACCAAGGATCCAGTTGAAGTACCAATTGAAACTGTATTTGGAAGGTTTTTTTATGAGAACCCACATGAAGCAAGGGTAAGCGAATGTGACTGGAAGTGTCAATCCTCCTAAGAGACCAGCAAGACTGGAGAGGAAAGGGAGTGCTACCCCAATGAAGAAAGAGATGAATCCATAGAACACCCGGAAGCCAGATCGAACCCAAATGGAGCATGGTCGGTTTGTTCGGGTGGTATAGCTAGCTTCAAAACTGTCAAAAACAGGCATTGAATATATCTGGAAGCTGCTTAGGCAATTGAACACCACGAGAAGAAAAGTCATTGCAAGGAGTCCTCGAGGAATGTCGTGGCTGTGAAACCCATACAGGGCATTGAGAATTCCTCCTGAAGGCATCTAAACAAGAGAACAGACATGATTCAAAACTACAGAGAATGGATGCAAGGGAATGCAGGCAGAGTGGAATCAAGCAACGGAAAAGTTATGAACAAAACACAGGACAGACAAGTTATAAACAGTTGTTAATGTACTAGATTCCCCAAGGCAATTGAGAAAACTTGATCGTATGGTAATGGTGAGATTTTACTTTTTGAGGAAATCCAAGCCATAACCATTCTATCAGGAATTGGTAAGTAAAGGCTATCCTAAAACAATACTTGCAGCCAAACCTTAATCAGCACAATCTTGTGCAATTTATAGCACAACTTAATTTTATTTTGCTTTTATTTTCCTGAATGTTGATTGTTTTGCTCCCTTTACATTTTCCACTAGTCACACACTAAAGTAAAAGAGGGAATAAAATGTGTCACGATGATGAACTCACAAGGTTCCCATAAGCCCAAAAGCCTCCAATGGCGACTGGAAACAGGCACAAAGCAATAAAGAAATAGGCAACCTTGGCTCCTTTCCACATGGGCACATGAGCTGGGTGCTTAAATGTTGATGGCATTGTTGCCTGAAGAAAATCAAATAAACTCCTTCAGTTAAAAAAAAAAAAAAAAAACCCTGAAATGATAATGATTTTTTCATATAAAATCATCGCTTCGAAACTCAGAGTGCATACCTGAATCTCCATGGCTAGATTGTGCCCTCTGAAAGCAAAGGCAACAATCCCAAGAGCATTCATGACTGAAAAGACAGAAGCACTAAAGGATGGCAAAGAAAGGGGTTCATAAGAGATTGTAGGTGGCCTTTGTTGGCTAACAGAAAGAACCCACACCATGGTAGAGTAGGTGATAGCTGTTATGGCACCGATAAGTGAAAGTCCCGCAATTGAATTCAGATTTGGGAGCTGGGACAGAACGATGCATAGAGAAGTGAATACCAGGTACCACTCAACTGTTGTTAGGGGATTTGATGAACAGAGCGGCCCACAAACTATTTGAAAGAATAATTTCATTGTCTCCCCTCCTATAAGAATCAAAGCTGTTGCGGTTCCAGCTGACAAATAAACTGTTGGGAAGAGCGCAAGCCACAGGCCTAATCTTTCCCCTGCGACCACAACAATACAGAATCAATATAGAATAGAAATTGCAAAAGACAAAAACTTCTCTAGCTTCAATCACCATGCCATTGAACTACAATTGACAAAATAAACAGAGATGCCAATCAAGCACTGTGAAATATTGATTCCAATCAATTTGAGCAGGTTATAGTTAATGTAACACTCTTACAATTTACTTTATAATTGAATGTCTGAATCTATACCCGGGCTTCATTATTTCTAAGCTTACAAATTTAACAGTTTATTGGGCATGAAATCTATCAGATTTTCAACTGAGCGTGACATGATTCTCACCGAATGCAGCTTGTGCAAGTTCCACATATCTGTTGTATCTCTTCCCGGGAACAGCTTCATGCAGCTGAACTAGAATCCATAGAGTGTAAAGTTGCCAGCAGTAAGCTATGGTTAAGGACAATATTCCCCAACTCCTGGAGAAACAGAAAAAAGAAAGTAAATCAACCAAATTCAGTTGCTTCTGTGCCTCTAAGCAACTAATCCAATTTCCATTCTCATATTTTCAAATTTTCTAGAAGCTCCAATTAAGGAATACGGCAGCAGACCCGCTGCGAATCTTTTTCTTTTTTTAATTTTGTCTCTGAATTTGTGCATTTGACTCCTCTTTTGCTTAGCTTTGTTAGTAGGATAGAAGATGCTGAATTAAGTAACCAAAAAATCAATTGCAAAAACTAAAAGCAGAGTGGTAAATTTGGTCATTTTATCTCTTCTTCACCTTGTAACTTTCTAGGAGCTGCAAACATGCTCGACTACTATTACAGTGTCTAAAGTACTTGATTGGTCCTTTCTACTTCCTTTAAAATCAGTCAAAGCGAGGTGTCAAACTGAACGCATCCCAGCTCTTGTCAGAACCAAAATATTTCGAAACTAAAGGCAGCAATATGTCAAAAAGTATAATTTTAACACTATTTCTATATTT